GAATGCCATACAATAATGGCATCGATTGCGGTCCTCATGTCTGGGCATACGGTCTGCGCCCACCTCTGCCTCGATCTCAGCCCTGAGCCGGCGCTGAACCTCCGGATAGTATGAGATAAACAATAGCATCCATTGAAACGTCTGCTGAGAGGTGTCGGTGCCGGCGAAGAACAGGTCAAATATAGTGATCGCCAGATTACTGTCGGTCAGATAGGGAGCGGACTCTTTGCCCGCCCGGAGGGCGTCCTCCCGGGCGGCGATCAGGGCGTCGCAAAAGTCACGCTCCACGCCATCCGTGTAGTCCCGGTAGTGGCCGACAAACTTGTCCCGTATCAGGTCTACCACTGAGCGCAACACTTGCCGGTGCCGTGCGATGAGTTTGCGGTCATACCAGCGCAGTATTGGCGAGAATTCCCATAGTATGAAATGGTAGCCGACTTCCCGACCAAAGTCCCGGAACGCGTACCGGTATTCGAGAAATTCCCGGTCATTGATATCGTAGCTGTGGTGCAAAACGTGTTGCGATTAAATAACTATCATGCTAATTATGAAGTAACCTCATTGAGTTTGTGCTGACCTGTGGCCAAACGTACTGTTGGCCAATATGTTAAGGAACAAGTGGTAGACGTAATCTCCCGGTGCGAACGGTTTGCCCGCCGAGGCCTCATTGGCCAGAATGGTCTCTAGGCTTCGGTCCACGCAATCGTTGGCCACGTTTTCCAAGCGCTCGTTTGCCGAGTATTTCCTGGAGTTTTAATTCACAACAAATTAGTCTTAATTAATTCAATTTTATATGTTTATACATTAGTTTTATAATATTATAATAGTATCTAATTATAAATTAGTTAATTATAAATTGGATTAGTCTTAGAATCAATTAATATACGCTTAGCTCCAGATATAGAGTACGAGTTTTCTAATAGATAAGGTTTGTTTGAAAACAGGTTTTCATTACCTGTGAAAACACGTGTTATTTAAAAGTGGTGTGAGTTTTGGTTTCATTTTGTAGCCATTGTTTAGTTTTAGTAATTGAAAATGTGTTCAAAATTAATAAGTGTTTCGTTGATTGAAATGAAGAGTAAATTAAATGCAATGAAG